GTTGCATGCAGATTGGGACAAAATTAGTGGACCTTTCATTTAATGAAGTCCTGGCCATGTGGGGTCAATTTTTATGGGCCATTGTATGGCTTCTGAGACTGTCACAAGCGGTAGTATGCAGCTTCCTATAAGTCTGACTTATAATAGGCTACCCTTTTCCAGGCTGGTAGATTCCCTGGACTGATTATTACAGACTGTGGGTCAGAGTTCTACTGTTATATGTGGTCTGATCATTGTTCCTTTGCATATCCCGTGTCTCAGTCCAGCAATATGGCTGCAAGGGTACTGTAACCCCAGGCACTGGCAGTCCTGTCCATTGCCCTTGAGCTTCCAGACTGCTGCATCCTATTGCAAATACATTCTTAAACTTAGCCCACTGGAGTCAGAAGAGGAGTTTCCTCAAAGCCCTTGAGAATCACATGGCCAAAACTTGAAGTCTACTGTAAACTTTTCTGCAAAAGTTGGAGAAACAGACTGAGCCAGAAACACAAAACAAACCAGTGGCCACTGTTCTTTCTACCAAACCACCTTCACGGCCATCCTATTTTATCTGTAAACCTTAATCTTTGAGACTGCTCTTACTGTGCTCGTGTGTTTAGGATTGGGTCATCCAAGGAGAACTACTAATGCTGTTGCGATGCTGACTTATGCAACCTGCTGAAGGCCTTGGTGACCTAATTTTCCTGCAGGCAAACTGCCCTTGAACAGGATACCGTGTGCAGGGCTCAGAGGTAATTCTGGGAACGGTGGAGGTGCTCTTACATTCCAGGTGTGGGCGATTAGATTTGGTGGATGCTGAAGTCCCCCGAGGGAAAATGAACCAGCCACTCTCCCTTTGGCTTTGTTAGAAGAGATTGTCAATACTGAATTGATTTTCACACATAGTTTGAAACCATCCCACTTGAATGGCTGTCAGCAACTTGCTCTTGGATAAAACATAAGCAAGGAAACTTTGGCAGCCCTGTCTTCCTATTCAGGTAGAAACACATCTTCTTGCATTACTTGAGGCTATTTCCTTTCTCTCTGAGATGCCTGAGATATTCTATGAATTCCATGTCTCAAATAATTTCAAATGGGAATGAAGACAAACTAGTTTTAGCTCAGTCTAATCAGGTAAGTGTCTGTGATGATATGTCTTCTTCTCAGGCCTGTCATCTTCCATAATGTCAAGGATAACGTTTCACTCTTGATGGAAGAATAGGGAACGGCAGGCCAAAGATAATGTTCAAACAACTTCACAAGAGCTACCAAGAAAACAAGAATATGATATGTATTTTCATTGATGAAAAGTATAATGGAGAAAGGGCATGTCCCGTAGACTAGGCTGAATTGAGAAGACAGCAAGGAAACATTGTAAGAGGAGAAAAACCATTATATAAAATATGAATTGCAATAACCAAAATAAATACTTTAATTTCCTTCTATAAAAAGAAAATATTAATTACATTCTTTCTGTGAATGACCCTCCTTCTAAATAAATCTAGAAGGCTAAGTCCAAAAAGGTAAGCCAAAAGCTTGGGGTAGTGATTATCTCCCTGTAATCCCAGCACCAGTGAGACTGATGCAGGAGGATTGAGAACTAGAGACCATCCTGGGCTACAGGGAATAGCCCTGTCTCAAGAAGCAAACAAACCTATGGATACCAAGAGCAAAAGATAAGCAAAAGATACTCCCCAAATCAGAGTAGAAATCGCAATGTTAATGGAAAACAAGAAAATTCAGGGTCAAAAGAATTCAAATGGAGCAAAGGATAGAATTTAAAATCAGAACATCTCCCGAGGATAAAGGAAAGGGACTCACTCACATGGTCAAAGAGAGTGTAATAGTAGGTTCTCCTGGCCCTCTTCTACTATGTCAGTTACAAAAAGCTCGCCTGATCACATACTCCTCCCTTTCCAGTGGGATTTCTGCTCATTAGGCATGGCTTCTACACCACAAGACACAAATCATCATCTTTAGGGATTACCTTTCTTAAACAATACTTCTAAAAATGACACTTCTTTTAATTTTCTATTGCTGCAAAACACATTACCTCAGATGCAAAGAGCTTTGCAACAACATTTATTAATTCAACATTTTGTAAGCCAGAAGTCTGGCCAGGCTTGGATGAATTTTCTGGTTAAGGTCTTATAAATCTCCAACCAAGGTGTCAACTGAATCGCCTTCTAATTTGGATGCTGGGGAGGAGATGGGTGAAAATCACGGGTAGTGATAGAATTCAGTTCCTTGCAGTTGTAGGATAGACACCTTCATTCTCCTGCTAGCCGTCAGCTGTAGCCCACCCTTGGCCTTCTGGACCCTTCCTTTAGACTTTGCATAACCGAGTTGTCTTCTTCAGTGCTGGTTACTGTACCCCCAAACTCCTCCTCCATTTTCTTCTGCCACAGTCGGGGAAACTGTCCTCACGATAAGGTGTCTTTTCAATGAACTCAAAGTCAAGCAATTGGTGCTCTTAATTACATCAGAAAAATCTCCTTTGTCGTGTGAGGTGACGTAACTACAGAGTCAACATTGCATCATCTTCATATTCCCTTGGATTCAGGCAGGAAATCGAGAGGCTGCTCTGTAGAGTTTTAGAATCCTCTCTGCTCCATCAGTCAGAGGCTGAAATAGAGAAACTGGTCCTAAGGTCATCAGGCCTGGGATTCGTGTGTATTTAAGTCAGCGGTATCCCTGGAATTCCGAGTAGCACAGCACGTTGCATAAGCCCAAGAATACCTCTGTGTGACCTAAGGAGTTGGAGTGACTCAGTTCTCTGTTCTCTGTTCTTAAGAATGTACTTGCCCAGGCACTGCCCTCAGTAGAACTTTATCTAGAAATCATTGGTGTTTCTTGGAGAATTTCCAGACCTCACATTAAAGCAAATGCAGGGTGGGAGGGGGGCACTTTTATTTCCTTTGGGGCTTTTTCTTTCTCAGCCAGGGTCAGGAAGCTTCCCATACCTGAGCCCTTCAACCCCATGGACAATACTGAGGCAGCCTCGGCCTCAAATGCACACTTATCTTCCCAAACAGCCAGGAACCGCCCGGACTGACAGTCCCTTACCCATCTTCCTTGCTGAGCATCTGTGGGCAGGGCCTGTTGGGGAAAGAAAAAATGTCCACCTTCACCGGGAGCAAAGAGGCATCCAATTCCTCCCACTCCTACTGAGCTTCTTGCTTAAGGAGAGAGGATAATCCTTTATCCAGATTGAAGAGCAGGAGAAACAAAAAAGCCTCAGCAGTGTTGCCTGGATTTCCTGGACTTCTTTCTTCCTAAGAGCTGTTAAGACGGTTAAATCGTCTAGTCCTTTCTACTGGCAAATGGCAAACTTCCAGAAATCAAAGCTGCACTGGGCAGAAAAAGGGGAAATGAAAGGCTCTTTAGACCACTGGTGACAGCGGATATTTCGTCTTTAAATAATTAAGGATATACCATTTGTACGATATTAAGGAAGGCTCTAATCTACATTTATGTTAGAGCACGTCATTACTGTTCTACAAAATTAAATTTTTATCATGATAGCTGTGGACATTTCTGCCAGGGAATTTTACTTATTGGCTAGATTAGATATTAAAATAAGGGAAATGATGAATTATGGAATACTAGATGTTGAATATTTAATACATCAATCCCATGTTGCTAGTGGAAGTTTCTGAAAGAATGCCTGTTGCATCCTAACACTTAATCAATACCAGTTAATGACAATGCCCTGAGGGCAAGTAGAGGCCTGACTGGTCCAGTCTAAATTAGAAACACAGAGGAACCACACTCAGACTTAAAATCATTCTAAAACAGGCAGCTGCAGTTGAACTGTTGGTAATTTCCCAGAAGTCAGAGGAAAAGAAAGAAGATTGATGCCATTGTCAACTGATTCCTTCAGTAGTTCCTGGGCCGTAAAATTTGGCTCCAGCTTACAGGACTTTGTTTATAGGTCCAGCTATTTTTCTTTCACATTTTTATAACCTTGAACGGTACTAGTTTTCTCCTCCTTCTTCCCCTCCTCCTCTTCCTCCTCTCCTTCTTCATCATCATGTTGAGAAAGGATTCTGACTCTCAAATTTATACTACCTTTGACAGGAAGAAAAAGAGGGGAAGAAAGGAGAGAGACAGCAGAGAGAGAAATAAATGAAGGGATGAAGAAAACAAGGGCATTGAAAAGCAAGAAACGAAAGGAGGAAAAGTCAAGAAAGGATGAGGGAGAGAGGAAAGAAGAGATGGAAAGAATCCGAATGAATAAGAATATACCATTTCCAGATAACAGGTGGGCTCCAACATTTGTGTGTCTGATAAAGTACCCATCTGTGTGTATGTGGTACATGATGGGAGGTCCTTGTATTTGGAGAACAGCAATAGAAATGCTCTGCAATCCTTGATTAAACCATCAGTGCCCAGTTTATCAACTATGAGCTTGATACAATGAAGGTACAGTTTTCAATCTATTCACAATGTAAGTATAGTTTTAAATCTATTTAAACTGGATTGACATAGAGATGCATTGACATACACATGAATTTTCAGCCATGCAAAAATTTTGTCTCTTAGCTTGATAGAAAGAAAATTGATTGGGGCTGGAGAGATGGCTCAGAGGTTAAGAACACTGGCTGCTTTTCCAGAGGATCCAGGTTCATTGCCCAGCACCAGCACCCACCACTCACAACTGTAACTCCATTTCCAGGGGATCCGATACCCTCATACAACACATATACAGACAAAACATCAATGTGTATGAAATAAAAATAAATAATTAAAAAATAAAAAAAGAAATATAGGCAATTTGAGAGAGGAGAGAGAGAGAGAGAGAGAGAGGGTTTGGTAAAGAAGAGCAATTTTTTTTTTTTTTTTTTTTTTTGTGGATAGTACTTGGTTTATTCATTAGAAAAACAAAAACAAAACCCAATGGGTCTTACATACAAAACAAGATGCTTTTTGTTTCCAAGGGTTAAAAGCACTCTTTAAAAATTTAAAGTGGGAACACGAATGACACAAAGCTGTTTCTCCCAGAAACACATGAACAAATATAATATGCACATGGAATTTATTATACACAGACGGTTCAGGGGCAAGACAGGACCACAGAGCCCTGTGCACGTCACAGCTCCAACATGGCAGACACTGAGGATGGTGGGAGTATGTGTCAGCATCTGGGCACAGAAGTGAATTGGTGCATAAAGTAGAAAACTCACTTCCACGTTAGAACACCAACAGAATTCAGCCACAAAGTAGAGCCACGGCAACCCAGTACACTGAGCTGCATGACTCAGGGGTGACAGGGAGATAATCGCAACACAGATGTAACCCTCACATCTGGGGTCCAGCACATCTTCAGCCCCAAGTTGCCACTGGCACCTCAGCACCAAGGCAGTATCACTCTGGCTAACTTTCCAGGACCCAACGCTGCTGCCTGCAGCCTGGCCTCAGCACTGGCCAGGCCCTTCTTTCTCCTGTGTAGAAGCAGGGTTGGAGAAAGCCATGCAGGCTGCTGGTGTCATTGTTGGTCACATACAACTGGGCTTTGAGTCCTACAGGGCTGGTGTGGGGAGGGTTTGTCTCCACTGTTTCCAGGGCTGGGGTTCTCCATCACAGGTGACTAAGGTGTTCAGGGACCAAACCATCTCATGGCCTCACTCTCCACCCATACACACATCAAGAACAGGACAGTCAAAACAAACATGTGGAATCGCCTTTTAGAGCCACAAATAAAAGCAAACCAGTTGCTCTCGTATAAAGAGGTTTATAGGGATGCTAGAATGTCCCAGCAACTGGATACTGGACCATCTGGGCTCAGCTGAGCTGCAGAGCCAGCAGCCAGGTTCCCACACTAGACAGGGGATGACTGGCTAGCTATCTGCTGGCTGTTGTGCTTTGAAGTGTTTTCTAGCTACCGGCCACAACTACAGGAAGCAGAGACAGCCTCTGGCCAGGGGCTAGAGTCTTCAGGAAGCACCCTTGTCCCAGTGGCGTCCTGACACACTTCCGAGGTAGACAGCTGCTGCTGCCGTCTCCAGGCATGCCTGAAAATTTGTACCAGCAAATGGCCCACAGATCCAGCCTCTGTCTCTGACCCTCACAGGATGGTGAGAACCAAGTGTTTGCTCATCTACACACATGCATGGAGACCAGACAAAATTGCAGCTAGGAACACCCTGCAAGATGGAGTGACATTTTCAAAAAGTATTTCTTACACTACTTTAAATAATTTACAAAAAACCCTACAAAAACCATATGTACCAGGACACCTCCATTAAATAAAAATGTCATTTGAGATTAGTGTACATATTTATACAGGGGGGCTGCGCAGAAGGGACCCTTCTTTTTGCTCTTTAATGGTCAGCAGCCCCTACCTCCACCCCATGCTGCCAGCACACACAGAACTTTCCACAGCTATGACAAGAGAGTCAGGACATGCCTGTCACAACTTGAGGCCTTTACTGCTCACTGTCATGCTGTCCCCGTCCTCCACAGAGGTGTCACTGAATTCGCTGGCATCACTGCCCAAGGCCTCCTGGTCCTGGTGTTCCCTGTCAACCCTGTGTCGATACCTCAGGTCTAGGACATTGTCCTCAGAGCCAGAATTTCTCCTGTCGTGCTGTCTCAGGGCCCCCTGAGCCTTCCGGCTTGGCCAGTGCCCACTGTCCTTCATAAGCAAGTGTGAGCTTCCAAACACAGGGCTGTGGCCAGGCGGGGTCTCCCTGAAGGCCGAGAAGGCTGGACCCTGCAGAGGCAGGCCCAGGCTGGGGCTGAAGAGGCCAGCCTGCTTGCTCCCCCAGGAGACACTCTTCCCGAAGTGGAAGAGCTGGGTGGAGAGGAAGGGCAGGCCCTTCCTGGGGCCTGAGGAGAGGCCAGATGGGCCCCCGGCCTCTGATGTGGCCCCCTTTTCTTTCTCAGCCCCGAAGACCCCTGTCCACAGTGTGCCTGGTCCGGGATTCAGTGCCCATGGGCTGGACAGCCTGCTCTGGTGTGCAAAGTCATTCCAGGGGAGGGTGAGGTCAGCCTGGGGTCCAGGATTGGAGGTCAGCAAGTTCTGGCTGCCATAGTTCAGGTGAAAGGCCCCCTCAGCACTTCCCGCCTCAGCACCCACTTTGGCACAACTGGACAGCTGACCAAAGACACTTTCTGCCATGGCAGTGTGCGCTCCCTGGGGGCTCTGGTCCTTGTGCACACCGGCACTTTTCCTGCTTGGCGGAGACACTTTGGCAGGATTGTTCCTGCTGGTGTTCTTGGGCAGCGCTGGCTCGCTTCGGCCCAGGGCAGTCGGGAGGCGAGGGGCCTGCTCAACACGAGGGGTGCCCTTCCCAGTCTGGCTTAAGAGGCCGGCTGCCTGGGTCCGAGCTCTCTCTGGGCCTCTCCTTCCTTCGGCCAGCTGAGGGGTTGCCCTGGCTTTCTGGCTCCGGGTGCACACTCCAGGCTGCAGCCCTGGGGTTGGCTCTTTCCTGCAGGGCATCTCCGGCTTGGCAGGGCCCCCTTGAGGCTCTGAACTGCGTACAGACTCCTTGGCCTTTTCTGCCAAAAACCGCCTGATCTCCAGCTCGATGCTGTCATCACTGTCCACTGAGCTGTCCTCAGACGGAGGGCTGGGGGCAGAAGGAGGGCGGCCACTGGCTCCTGCGTCCTTAGAGGCAGGAATCCCTTCTGGACTAAGAAGAGCAATTTTAATGATGGGGGAGTGCATGGTGCTTCTGGCCTTGGAAGGTCCTGAGTTGGGGCTCTTCTAGGAACTGAACACAAGCACCTGGCTATTAGCTAGGATGGGCATGGAAGGATGAGGTGGGCCTCTTTTCCATGTATGTCATTAACTTTTCCATGTATGGATATGGAAAGACTGATCTTAATTGTGGGTGGGACCACTCCCTCCCAACCCAGTACACTGAGCTGCATGACTCAGGGGT